TGATGGACAGTGAGTGTTGGCCTAGGGATGTGATAGTGAGGCGTTTTTTCTTTTCACGGGGAAAAAAGCCACTGGGATAACATCCAGGAATCCAGAGACGAGGAAGAGGTTAGTGGAGAGGAAGCAGACTTTTAATTTCATACACCTGAATATACAAAGCATCCGTAATAAGGTTAGTATGCTGGAGGTTATCTTAACCCAAAAAAGTGCCAAAGCATTGTGTGTTAATGAACATTGGTTGACTCATGCTGAGGCTGAAGTACTTTATATCCCTAACTTTACGCTTGCTGCTACTTTCTGTAGGGATAGGGCTTATGGAGGTGTTTGTATTTTTTTACAGAAGGACATAATTTTTGTTGAAATTGATTTAAAGAAGTTTTGCATAGAACAGCACTGTGAAGTTGCTGCTGTCAGGTTGATAAATGAAGGTATCATCTTAGTATCAGCTTACAGAACACCTAGTGGTAACCTAGAATTATTCTCTGCTAATATGAGTGAGATTTTAAACATGCTTTCTACCTACAAGTTAAGGATAGTTATAGCCTCAGATCTGAACCTAGACATTAGAGTACCTTCTAATAATGTGCGAGATTTTATTAATATGCTAAGGTCACACAACGTCTTTTGTATGAATTCCGAACCCACTAGAGGTGAGAACTGTATAGATAATATTATTACAAATTTTTTCCCAGATCAACTAGAACTGAATGTTTTTGAAACACATTTATCCGACCACAGTGGTATATTGGTAGAAATTAAAAATATGAGCTCTGACTTTACAGCCCCCCCACCTGCCACAAACAAGGTATGCAGACCAATTTCTAGAAAAGGAATGGAGGACTTTAGGGCTCGGCTCTGTGAAACATCGTGGGACGCCGTAGTCAACGTTTCAGGTAATATAGACGTTGTTTTTGCCAATTTTCTGAACTTTCTGGTGTGTACCTTTGAGTGCTGTTTTCCTACTAGAGTTTTCAGGCCCAAACCGATGAAGAGGATTCCATGGTTTACCCCAGCTTTGGCTCAGGTGAGGGAGCGTGGGGTAATGTTACATGGTATTTACAAAACGACAAATAGGGATGCTGACAAGGCACGCTATGTGGAGGAGAAGAGGAGGTACCGACTGGAATGCTCGGCAACTAAGAAGGCAATTTGTGCCTCAAGGATCCTGGAGGCCCCAAATCAGATCAAGGCAGCGTGGGAAATCATTCGGATTGAGAGTGGCAAAGAGGGAACCAACCTGGCTTGTAAAATTGATCCTGACATCTTAAATAGTTATTTTATAGACTCAGTGAAGGAGATTAGCGAGCACTGCTCGGCATCTATGGAGCAGGCCATGATCTTAGCAGCCAATAAAAGTAACAGGGGAATGGTTTTTTTCGAGTGGAGCATGGTCAGTAATGAGTTAGTTGAAAAATTAGTGATGAATTTTAAGGCCTCACCTAGCAAAGATTTTTACGGTTTCTCAAATAGATTGATTCGTGAAATACTTCCCGATATAATCTCACCGCTAACTCGCCCTATCAACAGATGTCTGGCAGAGGGGATTTTTCCTGATGTCTTGAAGTTTGCCAGGGTGGTCCCTGTGTACAAGAAGGGTCCCCGAGATTCCCCCTCCAGTTATAGGCCAATATCTCTGGTGCCTATACTTTCCAAGGTACTCGAGGCAGTGATGGTACATCAGCTGACTGGTTTTCTTGAATCAGGGGGGTTACTAAGTAGCCAACAGTTTGCTTACAGAAGTGGAAGATCAACCGTGGATGCAGTATGCCAGTTCTGTACCTTTGTAATGGACGCAATGGACAATAATGAGGTTGTAGAAGCGGTTTTTTGTGACCTGTCGAAAGCATATGACTGTGTCAGCCATCAACTTGTGTTGAGGAAGATGGAAAGTCTGGGGGTTTCTCATCAGGCTAATAGGTTGGTGGAAAGTTTCCTTAAGAATAGAAGGCAACTGGTAGTGGCGGATGGCAGAGAGTCTGGTTTAGAGAGGGTAAATATAGGCGTCCCCCAGGGGTCTATGCTGGGACCGTTGCTGTTTTTGGTCATGATAAATGACCTTGATTGCTGCATCCCGGGCAGAACCATTATCTATGCTGATGACACGACCATCATGTCCAAGGGAGCGGATTTTGGCTCTGCGAGGGAACAGACTGAGCTGTCATACAATGAAGCCAAGATCTGGTTTCAGGCCAACGGGTTAGCTCTTAACGAGGCGAAGACTCAACGTGTGTTTTTCTCTTTAAAGAAAAATGAAGACCAAGATGTGGCCAAATTATTGGGTTTCCACTTGGGCCCTAAGTTAGATTGGAAGGACCATGTTGAAGTAATTTTGAAGAGACTCAACAGAGTAATTTTTTTGTTAAGGCGACTGCAAGACAGCGTAACTCCTGACTGTGTGATGTATGCATATTTTGCCTTTTTCCACAGCATAATTGCTTATGGGATCCTCCTATGGGGACATGCAGCCAGAAGGGATGAAGTTTTCGCTAGGCAAAAAGAGGCTATAAGAACAATCTCAGGAGTGTGGAGTCAGCAGGAACACTGTAGGCCACTGTTTATACGGTTAGGAGTGATGACTGTCCCCTGTCTTTATATGTCAGCTTGCCTGTTGTGGTGCAAAGAGAGTGAACATGAGCTTGAGGTAAGGAGTGATGTACATGAGCACAACACAAGGATAAAAGACTGCCTAAACCCCCCTAGATTTAGGCTGGCAAAGAATGTTAAGTCCTTCAGGTACAGCTCCTTTAAGATGTTCAATAGTCTGCCAGAAGACCTCAAGAACTGCAGTCTCTCAATCTTCAAAAACAGGATTAAGAAACTTTTTATAGAACAGGCATTTTACTCTGTGGAGGAATTTTTCGAATTCATGGAAAGTAAGAAACAAAACCAGCCACTTCGCCAAGCCAAGTAAAAGTTTTTATTTTTTTTGCATGTGAGTGCGTTTTTGAGTTTTTTTAACGACAAGGCCCATTCCAGTCTACTGGTCAACGGCTGCTTTCTTCAAGGTATCAAGGTATCAAGGTAAGGTAATAGAAGTTATTAGTTAGTTTAAAAACTAACGAACATTGCTATTCGTTATTCCCAAGTATGAACAAAACTAAGAACAGCTTAGCACAAAACAATAATATTTAAGGACAGTTTCAAGTTTTTCATGCTCTAAATTCCAAACTTCTAAGCAAAAACTTCAGGTAAAAAACAGGTGTTCAAAGAACCCTAAAGAACTCCAATTCAAGCAGAAAATATTTTAAATTTCCCCCTTGATTACTGAGTATTGAATTGATTTTGGTTTAGGCTCATTGTTTTTACCTACCACCAGTGGTGTATCCAGGAGGGGGGGGGGTTTAGGAGTTTAAACCCCCTCCTTGGCCTTAAAACGTGATTTAAAAAATTATATTTCATAAATTATGGAGGGAGTGCTCTCCAGACCCCCTTCTTCCCTGGGGAGTATTGCATACCCCCGGTGTTACCCCCCCCCCCTTAGGGTCATCTTAATAACATCTATGCCTACCACAGAAATTAGTGCAATAATCAAATTGTTTATTTCCAGAAATTGATCAATACAGTACGAGTACACAGATACATATTAATAAGGAAATACATTTCTCCGCATAGGTATAATGGCATAATGGTTAAATCCAGGTGTTTAAAATCTCAAACCAAATAGAAACGAAAAGTTGATCTGATATTATGTTTGGTGTTGGTCTTTTGTTTGTGAAGGAAGGAAATATCGCAAACTCAAGAGCACCACCTACAACTAACTCAACCTTTATAGTATAAAAAATACAGTAACCTAGATAGTTAGGCATATCTTGTATGTGGGTGTGTTGATGGTTGTTTGTATATACTACAACTAGTCTTAATACTTAGTGATTAGTAAGTAATGTATTGACAAATTGAAAATAGATTTGAATAGTTTGAACAGTTTTATTACTGCTATATATTTTGTTTATGTTCCGACTAGGCTATAGTCCAAAGCGCCAACACTTTGAGGAGTGCCCAATAAAAAAAAAATATGGTTAAGTAGATTCCCACTATTCTGAACCCTACCATTTCAAAAATCCACCTAATATAAACTATAGTTAGGGAATTATTATTTTTTTTAAATACGTAAGGGTGATGCTAACATGAAATTGTTACAATCTTACGCGGTTGCGACAATCAATTAGTACAGAAATCCGTTTGATAAGAATTCTTACTAATCCGAACAAAGTTCCATCCCAATTATTTCGGAATATTATGAATCAAATGTATTGATTTGATTAGTTAGAAAAAAAACATCAAACACAAATTTTAATCAGTGTGTTAGCCTCCAGATAGTGTTAAAACTCTTTTAACTGCTTTAAAAATTGTCTGGGGGGTGGCCTCACATTCCAAGGTAGGTAATGGGATTGGGGGCAAAGCTGTTCGCATCCCTTTCTAAACCCAAGCCTAAAAGAACTACTAATTTGATATTTCGCTCTACAAGCGGGCAATATAGAGCTAAATATCAAATTACAGTAGACTCCCTCCTATCCGGACTCCTCGGGACCGAGGCCAGTCCCTATAACGGGTTTTCCGGTTAAACCAACGTCCCCAAAAACTCGTTAAAACGGACCATTAAAATGCATACATACTGTATACAGTATTTGACTTAAATTTAGTAGAGCATTGTATTTACACACGTGATCACTGGTTTCAAATCTTTCCCACGAGAACAGTTGTTTCAGTACCACCCACTTCCTGCCGATCTAGTCCGGTTATTCCGATGTGCTGATACAAATTGTCCAGTTAAAGAGATGTCATTTACGCCGAGTGTAGACCGGTTAAACCGATGTCCGGTTAAAAGGTGTCTGGATAAGAGGGAGTCTACTGTAATGGTGTTCTTCTTGTATTTGTCAACAAACTGTCTGGAATTTTTTTCTTGGGTAAGATAGAGACAATAGTAGGGGCGTATAGGATAAGGACGTATTCATTCTTTCTTTCTTGATGTATTCCTATGTATTTGTGAAAGTGAGTCATACCTGACAGATGTTGTTGCAGCTGTAGGTGTGAGTTGAGCCTTACATTACATATCTTGCACGAGAACTCTTTAGTGTTGGGGACAGAGCCTTCCGAGGGGTTCGCCAAAACAAACACAGAGTTGGGAGAGTTAGCAATCTCCTTTATCAGCTCTTGAGCTTTCAGCTACAGAATAGACAAAAAATTGTTACGTTACCTTCTAAGTAAAAAAGATCAATTTTGAAGTAGACCTATAAATTAGTTATTTGTGTAACTAGAGCGCAAAGTTGAGCTTTTCTTCAAGAAGAACACTTTAGTTCCTTGAGTGTACCAGATAGGCCTACTTTGCCCACAAATAAAATTTTTCCTACAGTTATCACATAATATAATAAAATTTAATTATGTAATGAAATAATAATTTTCTCAAAGTTTTATAACTTTCTTACTTGCGCCACGAGAAAAAAAAAACTATTTAAATCTGTGACAATTGAGTCACATCAGGTCGCAACCAAGTAGAATAGATTAGACACACAAAAATGAACACGTCATACTCTGTTACCCAACAGAGGGAATGAGCTAGAGTATGACAAGACATAGGACAGTCGCAGGCAGGTCGTCGATCGATGAAGACTCACCATCGGGCGTTGGCACTACATACACATAAGTCCTATCTGTTAGTCATAATTTAAATATTGTTACACTCTGGCCTCAGGTCGCTCAGTCTGGGGTGGGTCGATGTAAATGAACAGAGTGTTTATCCTTAATAAATCAAAATTCTTCATGAAAAGGGCGCCACCTAGTTTTAACCTTCCTAGGAACCAAACTAGGAAATATTCCAAGGTAAAGGATGATGTGATTAATTTTGAAAATAAGTTACTAAAAAGGGAATGGCAGAGGCTTACTATTAAAACAAATTAAATTGACCAAACATACAAGTCTCAAATAATATTTCTATCAAAATTCAACTATTATCAATGAAAGCAGAGATTATTATCTTTTCTTTTTATCTACCAGCTGAATATTCAATCAAACAAAACTGATATTTTTGATTTGAAACACTATCACTTCTAAGATAAGGCTACTAGGCAATATGAATGAATACCAAAGATTTGATTACCCAAGAAAATATTTACTGATCAGTTGCAAAACATTTGTAACTTTATCTTCCATTTTTATAACTACCAAAATTAATTAGAAATTGTCGGCCGACACTAAGATGAATTATTGAGCACAAAAGACATATAATACACAGTAATAAATATATATGACCCTGAAACAAATACTTATATCTAAACAAAATAGATCCTGAAAGTGTCCAAATATCTCAATAAATCCCAAAATAGTAAACTAATGTAATATTAAAATAATTGTCCTATCTGTTGTTTGAGAGCGTTGGTATAGTCGAAGTTAGGTTGTACACAGGTTGACTGCACGGACACAGGTGAGTCTGTCAATGTCACAGGTCGTGTTGTGCCTCTAGCCACAAATGGAATAATGCCAGAGCAGGTCCAAGATACCACAGTCCACATCCAAAGGGCGATAGGTAACCAAAATCAAGTCCCAAGACTTTCCCTGTGCAAAACCCACACACTCTAGTATTGAAGACTAACACACTTTAAAATAGTAAATTATGTTAAATCTTTCAGAAGTCCGTTAACTCAAATGGTAAGTCCAGAAGAATTCAGAGGTTTATACATGAATTGGTTAAAGTTCAGAATAACACATAGCTTCATATTATTCGGTGTATAGCATTATTTACCTTTGACACTTTCAATTCAATGGGCTAATTTACTACTTTGAGTTCAGTAGCTACTAAAGCACTATAAATTAATTAAACATGAGGACAAATAATCTCTGAGAGTATATACATATTTTACCCACCATCAGATCAAATAAGTAATTTTCTTGAACTGTGTTCCCTATTTGCAATCATTACTGAGACATAAAAATCACTTCCAACTCAAATTTACAACTAAAGTTTACAGTGACAAATATTTCATAGCTAAACAACATTTAAATTAACTAGTGACATAAATAATAACACAGTTCTAATGAGAATTTGGAATATTTTGTTGAAATTAATTAATAATAATTCAAAGAATAACTATCATTTAGATCAATTCATCGACTTTAACCTACACAACCTTTTGACACCTGAATTTTTACAGTGAATCAAACATGACATAATATTTTAATATTGTAGTATCTTCAATAAGCATGTAAATCATCTTTAAACATAATAATTACTAGCCTACATTTAGTGTCATTAGTTAATCATCAAAATCATAATACTTTACCCTATTTGACTCATATTTACACAAAACAATTAATTTATACAAAGGAAACAAATATTTGAAACTTACATTATTTGGGTACAGAACAGCATTACTATTACAATTAATTAAATTCTCATGTAAATTAGCAAGTTAAAATTAGAAAGCACATGGTCAGCAATTTTCATGTCTTTTTTTCTAGACAAGTTTTACTTTGCACTATATTACAAAATTGTAAAATTCCAATCATACTAACTAACCATGAAAATGTCATATTTATGATTCTTTAAAACTAGCTAAAACTATATGACTAACAAATTGACAAAATATCTCACTTATTAAATAATAATGATTTACTCTGAAATATTCCAAATTCTCAGTTTGCATGTCTGGCCATTAGTTCCAAATCAAGAACCAGGAAAATATTAAATTAAAATGTATTTAAATCATAATGGATTAAAATTGGGTTCAAATTATTTACAAAATTGATCATTGACTAATCTTACCTCTGCCAAATAAATCCAAAAGGAATGGACACAAGGGAAAAGGTTGATGTTCACAAGGCTGGACACTGGTCTTCTAACTGCAAACTCTTCAAAATGGCTGAACTATCTGTATTACTTTAAAACATCCTCACTGCATGGAGTTGCCTTGTAGAAGAGGTCAGATTTGCTCATAGTTGTAACTGTGACATGTCAGGATGCAAATTTCCTGTCTGGCAGGGGGTGGGGAATAGGAGTGGACAAAGTCCAGCTAGGCACAGGCTGTTGCTCACCATGTTAATATTTCAGCTTATGGGATTTATTTAATGCCTTCAAAACCCTGACACAAAGTCATGACAGCAAAGTAAATAATGTTGCGTTCTCATGGGAAGGATCTCCTAAATTCCCATTTGATCTCATAATGATCATGGCCATTGATCATTCAGAACAAGTATTTATTATCAACAAAACTGTCACAACACTCCCCTACCAGAAGAAATTTTCCTAAAATTTCTCTAAAATCCAATAGACTTTAGTTTATGTATCTTTTTAAGTCATTGACATGCCATTTTCCAGCATCTTTCCCTTGAAGATCTTCTAAAGAATAGACCACATTGGAAATCTTCTTAGTGATCCTGAAGGGTCCAACGAATCGATCAGTCAATTTAGCAGAGAAACCAGCAGCGGCATCCGACTGTGAGAAATTCCTTTTGAGCACCAGGTCATTATCTTTGAACTCTTGAGGTCTTCTACGAAGGTTATAGCGGTGACTACTCTTCTCATGAGCCTGAACCAATCTATCCTTAACCTCCTTGAAGATATCTTGAAGTTCTTGAAGTTTTCTTCCATAAGGTTCACAGTCTTCCACTGTCCCAACATCATCAGATTGAGGATCTACACCAACTCCAGAAGCAGATGGTTCACGGCCGAAATTGAGGAACGCAGGCGAAAATCCTGTAACTTCATGTACAGCCGTCCTAAGCGCAAATCCTATTTGAGCAAGATGCTTGTCCCACTCTCGATGACTTGCCCCAACATAGGCACGTATCATAGTGATTACATTTCTGTTCACTCTTTCAGTAGGGTTAGATTGAGGATGTCTACTAGGATTATAGAGGATCTTGCATTTGTAACCTGCCGCTAAGTTCTTAACTGGTGCACCCGTAAATTCTGAACCATTGTCGAAAACTAAGTATTTTGGGACACCATAAACTAAGAAAATGTCTTCTTCCAGATGTTGAGCCACTGCTCTAGCTGTTGCTGCTCTAAGTGGTTTGAGTATAGAAAATTTAGTGAAAGTATCAGTTATTACTAGGATATATTTGAAACCTTTGGTCGATCTTGGGAAGGGACCCATTAAGTCAGCTGCGACCATCTTCCAGGGTTCATCAACACCCCGCCTTTCACCCATCAACCCAGCAGGTACATTTTGATTGTACTTAGTTCTCTGGCAGATTTTACAACGAGAAATATAGCTAGCAGCGTCCTTCCTCATTTTGGGCCAATAATATTTTAATTGAAGCCTTTTGTATGTTTTGAATGTTCCTACATGTCCTGCAGTAGGCTGGTCGTGACATTCTTCCAAAGCTGAAGCCCTACTCTCCTTGGGAAGTACCAATTTCCAAACTTTGTCATCTTCTTCTTCTGACAGTCCTATTTGATCATTAATTCTCTTCAATAGCTGATGGTCCTTCACTCTCCACTGTGGATACTTTTGACCCTCAGATCTGACATTTTTGAGCATCCTTGCATACCACTTATCCTTGACATCTACCGGGATGACTACATCACAGTGAAAATTTTCATCAGGCTCAATAGCAGCAGACCTAGACAACAGATCAGGAACGACATTCTCATTCCCTTTTCGATGGACCAATTCGAAATCATAGGGTTGCAGTCTCAACGCCCACCTTGCTAATCTACCCTGAGGATCTCTCAAATTATATAACCATAAAAGGCTGTAGTGATCAGTTATAACCTTGAACTTTGTCCCTTCAACATAAGGCCGGAAACGTTCCACCGCCCAAATCACTGCTAAGCACTCTCGCTCAGTAGCTGAGTACTTTTGTTCTTGTTCGCTCAGAGTGCGACTCGCATATGCCACAACAACTTCTCCCTGATTACTTTCCTGGGACAACACAGCACCCACACCAACACCTGATGCGTCACATGAAATAACAAAAGGCTTGGAAAAGTCTGGACAAGACAAAATCGGTGAGGTTACAAGGCAAGACCTAATATCCAAGAATGCATCTTGAGCTTCCTTTGACCAAACAAATTTTGCACGCTTCTTGAGTAATGTGGTGAGTGGGAAAAGACGTGCAGCAAAATTTGGAATGAACCGCCGATACCATGAGGCTGTCCCACATAACTGACGGACCTCTTTTTGATTTTGGGGAACTGGCAGATCAATAATCGCTTTGACCTTCTCTGGGTCAACTCTAAGGCCCTTTTCACTGACCACATACCCGAGGTATTTTAATTCAGGACGGCAAAACTGACATTTGTCTCTGTTTAGAGTAACCTTTGCCTCTTTAATTCTTCTCAAAATCTCCGACAATACTTCAATATGCTTTTCAAACGTAGGGGTGACAGCAATAACATCATCAAGGTAAACAAAACAATAGGGTTCCAAGTCAGCTCCTAGAACATTATCCACAAACCTTTGCCATGTCGCTGGAGCATTGCTAAGTCCCATGGGCATTGTGACAAAATGAAAAAGTCCTCGACCAGGCACAGTAAAAGCTGTTTTCTCATGGCAGGATGGATCCAATGGAATTTGCCAAAAGGCACTTTTTATGTCTAAGCTTGAAAGATAACGAGCGTCTCGGAGTCTGTCTAGAATAGTTGTAACCTGTGGTAAGGGATAAGCATCCTTTTTTGATACTGAATTTAGTTTCTTAAAGTTCACACAGACCCTTTTAGAGCCGTCAGGCTTGTCAACCAAAAGAATTGGGGAAGACCAATCGCTTTTTGAAGGTTCAACTACACCAAGCTGCAACATCTTATCTAGTTCATCGCTAACCATCTTTTGGCGGGCTGGAGACATTGGATAGTAACGCTGCTTCACAGCTGGGGCATTATCGGTATCAATAGTGTGAAATACTTTATCTGTCCTTCCTAATGCAGGTTGTGGTCCACTGAAATGTTTGTTAACTAATTCATCCAATTGATTTTTTTGATCAGCAGTAAGATGCTCTTCTCCCTGAATTCCACCACTGAGTGAGCTACAATAAGAGGTGTTAGTGGCTTTGGAAAACTCCCATCTCCGGTGATGAAGGTCAGCAACAATGTGGAATTTTTCCCAAAAATCAATGCCCAACAGTAGATTATGCCTAAGTGTTGGAACATACAAAACCTCAAGGTACTTAGTCTGTCCTTCAAGAGTGATGGGAAGAACTACGGTTCCCTGAATAGAATGCTTTTTTGAGTCCGCCGTCTCAACAAATTGAACAGAAGGTGATCGAAGCCTAGCTGGAAATCCATTGAAAACCCAATTTCCTTCCTTGCCCAGAATGGTACGAGATGCACCAGAATCCAAGAGTGCACGCATCTCACGACCAAAAACTCTTACATCCAAATACGGACGGGAATCTCCCTCAACTGATTCGATAACAAAAGCAACCTTGTTTTTTCTTTGACTGACATCACTGTTTCTGAACTTTGCATTTTTATTTGGGGAGGCAGCGGGGTTACCCAATCTGGCTCCCCACTCTATGCGTTTTTTGGACAACATGAAGAGCATTCAAATTTTTTAACATTCTTGGCCCCGCAACCATAGCAGAAAGTTGTTCTGGGCTTAGTGCACGCTCTCTGTGCATGTCCCTCTTCATCACAATTCCAGCATTTCATCTTGGTTGACCTGCGAGAATAACTTGCATGAGACACCTCAGCAACACGCTGCTTAATCCCAGTGACCTTTTGGTAGGCTAGGTCAGGTTCTAATATTGGAGCATGGGTAGACATGGCCTTCCAGTTAGCCGCCCTCAATCGACCTAACTCGGCTTTTCTTCCTACAACCCTTAGTTGGCCTACAGAAACTATTGGAAACATACATAATTTTTCTTGTAGATATTGATTCAAATTCTTTAACATCTGCTTCAATCGACTATCTTCGCTTACAGGAACAGATAAACGACTATACAGCCCTTCCATAGACGCTATGTAAAGATCTATTGATTCAAGCTCTCCCTGTCTACGATTCATAATCTCCTGTATCAACATGTCATCGTAGTCCGGCGTTTGGAAAACCTCCTTCATCTCCTTGCAAAGATCAGGTTGACTGCACGGACACAGGTGAGTCTGTCAATGTCACAGGTCGTGTTGAAGACAAGGTCCTCTAGCCACAAATGGAATAATGCCAGAGCAGGTCCAAGATACCACAGTCCACATCCAAAGGGCGATAGGTAACCAAAATCAAGTCCCAAGACTTTCTCTGTGCAAAACCCACACACTCTAGTATTGAAGACTAACACACTTTAAAATAGTAAATTATGTTAAATCTTTCAGAAGTCCGTTAACTCAAGTGGTAAGTCCAGAAGAATTCAGAGGTTTATACATGAATTGGTTAAAGTTCAGAATAACGCATAGCTTCATATTATTCGGTGTATAGCATTATTTACCTTTGACACTTTCAATTCAATGGGCTAATTTACTACTTTGAGTTCAGTAGCTACTAAAGCACTATAAATTAATTAAACATGAGGACAAATAATCTCTGAGAGTATATACATATTTTACCCACCATCAGATCAAATAAGTAATTTTCTTGAACTGTGTTCCCTATTTGCAATCATTACTGAGACATAAAAATCACTTCCAACTCAAATTTACAACTAAAGTTTACAGTGACAAATATTTCATAGCTAAACAACATTTAAATTAACTAGTGACATAAATAATAACACAGTTCTAATGAGAATTTGGAATATTTTGTTGAAATTAATTAATAATAATTCAAAGAATAACTATCATTTAGATCAATTCATCGACTTTAACCTACACAACCTTTTGACACCTGAATTTTTACAGTGAATCAAACATGACATAATATTTTAATATTGTAGTATCTTCAATAAGCATGTAAATCATCTTTAAACATAATAATTACTAGCCTACATTTAGTGTCATTAGTTAATCATCAAAATCATTAATACTTTACCCTATTTGACTCATATTTACACAAAACAATTAATTTATACAAAGGAAACAAATATTTAAAACTTACATTATTTGGGTACAGAACAGCATTACTATTACAATTAATTAAATTCTCATGTAAATTAGCAAGTTAAAATTAGAAAGCACATGGTCAGCAATTTTCATGTCTTTTTTTCTAGACAAGTTTTACTTTGCACTATATTACAAAATTGTAAAATTCCAATCATACTAACTAACCATGAAAATGTCATATTTATGATTCTTTAAAACTAGCTAAAACTATATGACTAACAAATTGACAAAATATCTCACTTATTAAATAATAATGATTTACTCTGAAATATTCCAAATTCTCAGTTTGCATGTCTGGCCATTAGTTCCAAATCAAGAACCAGGAAAATATTAAATTAAAATGTATTTAAATCATAATGGATTAAAATTGGGTTCAAATTATTTACAAAATTGATCATTGACTAATCTTACCTCTGCCAAATAAATCCAAAAGGAATGGACACAAGGGAAAAGGTTGATGTTCACAAGGCTGGACACTGGTCTTCTAACTGCAAACTCTTCAAAATGGCTGAACTATCTGTATTACTTTAAAACATCCTCACTGCATGGAGTTGCCTTGTAGAAGAGGTCAGATTTGCTCATAGTTGTAACTGTGACATGTCAGGATGCAAATTTCCTGTCTGGCAGGGGGTGGGGAATAGGAGTGGACAAAGTCCAGCTAGGCACAGGCTGTTGCTCACCATGTTAATATTTCAGCTTATGGGATTTATTTAATGCCTTCAAAACCCTGACACAAAGTCATGACAGCAAAGTAAATAATGTTGCGTTCTCATGGGAAGGAGCTCCTAAATTCCCATTTGATCTCATAATGATCATGGCCATTGATCATTCAGAACAAGTATTTATTATCAACAAAACTGTCACAATATGTACTAATTCTTTTTTCAGGAATGGAGGGACAAGGGGTTAAGGATTTAAATTACCATCATAGGACTAATCAATTAGTTATTATAATATAAATTGAAATTAATTAACACTACTTGTGCCCATAAGGCTTGAGTGGCGAGTTCTCCCTTGATTCTTTATTCGTCTGTATAAACTCGTAGCACGTGTTAAATTAGTTAGTTTTCATAAAAATGGCTGTGATAGAGATACAGCTTGTGTATCTACGATATTAAATAATTTATATTCTATTTCTGAGACATTGCGCAAGTTCTTTTTAGGAATTGGTTGGACCATACAAGGTCTGCTTGAGTCCAGTAGCACTACAACTCGTGAGTAATTTTGTTTTAATTTTCTGGAAGTAAAAATACAAAACATTTTTGAAAGAAAAGAAAACAGCCAAAATACACTTACCTTTTTAGCATGCTTAGAACCAGCATAATGAATTTGAAGAATTTCAGGACCAGAAACTTCAATATTACAAACTTCACATTTCAGTCTGACCTGTAAAAATATACTAGTGTTACATGGTAAATCCTAATGGCTAGATGTGAATTAAAATCATTTATATTTTAAATTGTTTAAAACTGTGATGAAAAGAGCGTGGCTTTTGTTATCGCCTTTTTTTTGGCAGGCATTACTAGGTACTAACATAACTATACTTTATAAGACATCATAATTGGCAACGGTTAAACTTTGGTCAAGCTGGTTTAGATCAAGAACCTAGGCCTACCTATAAGTTACCAATAAATACAAAATTTTAAAGAATTCCAATAGGCCTATTGTAAGAAATGAACACCTTGGATTTTTTAAAGTAAACAAAACTTCTGATTATTTAACTAAACATGGTTTGTAAGAAGGGCTTCTTGAAGGAAAATTTCAAATCAAATAATTTTAATTAATCTTATCATGGTGGAAAATATAGGGAAAGTAAACGGGCGAAACAGTCTGAGCACTCCTAAGGCAATTGTCTTTCTCTCTTACTAGGTAGTCAGTGACCAAGTGAGTAAATGTCCTGTTTGACTTTATGTAAGCTAGAAAGGGGCACAGAGCATTGCTTCTTATCAGAACACAGATATTAATATTTAAATGCAAAATAATTAGTTTGAATGCTTTCCCTATGTTTACATATAAATGCATTTATTTATTTATCTTATTACCGTACTAAAAAAGTTTTGCAAAACTTATGACAGCTAGCCTGACCATACTACTGGACCAAATTACACGCGGTTAGTACCAAATAAAAGATATTTTCCTGTAGATTTGCAGAATCCCTAGAGTTTAGGATGTATAAGTTAATATGTATGTATTTACAATCTTTCAAATGTTTGCATAAGCAAATCTCATAAAAAATTACTCAAGCTGAATGCTTAACTTACCAATTGCAGGTAAGGTAAAATAACATAGGTACTATATTATACTTTACTATTCTATGAAATGGTGACCATACAAAGTAGGTATTTTAAGCCAAGTATGAATGGAGATGAGTGTAGGATGAGTGGCTAGATCTTGTAGTCTTGTTAGTGACTAAGGCCGACATTCCTTAGACACATCTGTTAATTAATAGCCCATACAGCTAATGGCAACTAAGGGATCTACAGTTTATAGTGGAATCCGAACCACATTTTTGCCTTGGTATTTACGAATTGGTCTAATTATCAGGATAGTACTGCAGATAGTCGTAGTACTCACTGGTGCGGACGTTAATCCACACCAGAGAGTATCGCATCCACAGTGCATGCCTATAAATATCCACAATTTGTGACCTCCTAGTAGCTGGATTACAGGACGACGCCACCCATCCCAGTCAATAATGATTATGATAAAAAATTATGATAATTGAATACGTTAACAATCCATTGCCTGTTCTTTCGTTGTTGGAAGTTTTCCTATAATGTTGTCAACAACCGCCTGAGTGACAGGGTCACTGGCTTTGATCTCCACTTCCGTCTCTTCAGGCAGGTTCATTGGAGGAGCAGGAGGCTGTACCATCAACCCAGGATCCATGGCCAGAGTGGCCAACAGTGGACCACTCTCAGCTATTTCTTTACTGCAAATGAAAAATAAGTTAACTAGACTTCGACCAAACAATAAAAGCGGCTGGTGTTTTATAAAAAAAAAAAACAAGGTAAAGGGTTGGGGAATAAGGATGAATGATGCAATAAGTGGATTCAGAAGATATGAAAGGGCAAGAATCCCTTGGGAAGAGGGTTGAACCAATGAGTGAATTAAATAAGATTTAACCAACACAATGAGGTTTTAATGCTTCACGAGTCAAAGGAATCAGTTAAAACAAATTAATAAGCCCCCAACTAGTTTTCTACTTTGGGGCAAAAAATCTTTAGTTTAAAACCGAAAACTTACAGAAACTTTACTGTGCAATATATGTTCCTCCTCATACCCTTTTTTGTGGATAGGCCTAAAACAATTGTTTTTTATGAATCCTAAATTTCTAATGTTTGGCCCAAAATAGCCCTATTTTTGAAGTAAAACTTTGGTATTAAGAATCTGGGATCAAAGTTTGAGAATAAATAAAATGGTTACAATGGCAGGTTAGAAAAGTTTAGTTGTTACGGTGACTAATAGTAGAAGAAGTGAAAGCTATGAGGAGAGCAAATAGTTGTTGATTTTTGACGATTTATTTGATTTCGTAAATTTTACATCTATCGGTTTGTAAATTGCACATCTATATATATATATATATATAGTAGAAACCCTGTTAACCAAATTCGGGTTAACCGAAATGGTTCCATAAAATAATTCAGGGCTGTAAAAAGCTTTAGTAACTTCAGTTGTTCAGTTTAACCCTCCGAGTGTCACGCGTCATAAAAATGACGCACAACACACTTTGTGTAGGGTCACGCGTCACTTTTATGACGCACAAACATCGTTTACGGCGAAGGCTCTATGACTGACTGAATCGGATTGAACTGGATCGAGTTAGGTATCGTTCTTTCCGTAATATTCTAAGCTTTCTCCAGAGGTCTGTCTCTAAGCGCTATTCATTTTAGTTCCGAAAATATTGTAGCAGACAGCTGACGTGCGTGTATTTGTAAACAGCTAGGTTCCCCCGGACCGATGACTGATGTGTTTTATTACGTTTATCATTGTTTTAGTGTTAAAAATCAAAAGTAGTGATATACGTGGTGCATTATAAGAAGATTTAAGTGGTTTTGAAGTGCTGGTTGATGATCCTGAAGAAGTAGGTAGTGATATTGATGTAAATTATCAGCCAGATTCCTAGCTATGGTTAGGCTATGCATTCTTAGCTAAACGCTATGTACTGAAATCCGTTTTTCGCTCATAACTTATTTATTTGATAACTTACCTCGCTATATGATTATATATTTGTAATCCTCATTAAATTTAGAACAAAGTGGCTATTTTCAAATATTTATAGGCCTATAATTTATACAATTTCATTGAGCGCGAACTTATTTTTTTTTTGAAAATTTTCAAAATTATATTTTTTTTTACCTAAAATTTTTTTTTTTGAAAAAATGTTCCTTATGTTTTATATATAATATTGAAGCCCATGATTTTCCAAACAAAATGGTATATAGAACATTAGAATTAACATTGTTTTAAGCTTCTCAGATCCGTTTTAATAAAACCTTGCAAAGGGGCCAAAAATAGGTGGACATTAAGGCCTAAACTATGGACACTCGGAGGGTTAAAGTGTTTTCTAACCCATTGTAACATTGTAACATTGTATTTAAGTACAGATGTACACATTATTTATAAACAGTGTGCACATTTTTTTTTACCTATGGACAATAACCAAAACTTATTTCCTGCTGGTAAGAGCTCTTCCCTCGAGCACGGACTTGCAGTCCATTCGGGGGAATACTATTCTTACCCTGATAATGTATTCCTGTATTTATATATGTGAATAAAGTGATTTTTGATTTGATTTGATTTTGATTTGTTTTAGCTTAAATAAAACACTGGATTATAGACATTGTCTTAACACTACCGAAACCCTACCCAGGCTGACGCTAACCAAAATCCTGAGCCTGTGAGACCCGCTTTAGGCCAGTTTTTGACCCTGTCTACGCCCTAGGCACAACTAATCAGCACCTCTTTGCAATATACAGGGTGAGTTTTAATTGTCCCCCCCCCCAACTTTTTTCTACATTTTTTCAAATATCAATCCCAGACTACTTCCAAACATTGTTGGGTAGTAAGTAGTTAATTTTGACAAGGTGGTCATTTCCGGCCGCCATCTTGGATCCGCCATATTGGATGCAAAATAATTTTTTCAAATGTAAAGGTGGGGTTATGACCCATTATTTCGAACTACATTTCTACCCTGATTACAATGCCGCAAACCGTTTAAAAAAATCTTGGTTCATTCCAAAGTTATGAGGGTTTTATAAAACTTTATTTTTAGCCCATTTTAACATTGTGCATTTACAAACTAAGACCATAATCTCAAAATAGTGCTAGATAAAGATAAATATAATACACTACCAGTCATTGTCGACCTATTTTCACTTGGTTATGACGGATGTATTTTTTTCAGCCGCCATTTTGGATCCGCCATTTTGAAATCAAATCAATCATATCATTTACCTATTTGTCTTTTGGATTTTTACAAATCATTGACAAAGTCAACACATCAGCCTATGTATAGGCCTACGTCATATGTGATAAATTATTTAAATATGAAGGGTGTGTTGTGACCCATCATTTCGAACTACAGTACATTTTTAAGCTAAACTCAATGCCGCAATCCATTTTTTGAAATCAAGTTTTATTTATTATATAGGCCTATTGAAATTTTTTTGTAAAAAATGTCAATATTTCAAAACTAAAATATAAAAATGAAAAACGGATCATGGAATTGAGTTCAGCTTAAAAAGTAACTTAATCTGAAATGATGGGGCTTGCGCATTTTTGATATCGTTATTTCATTGTGTTTCACCCACTATTTAATTGTGCAAAAACAGTCTGGAAGTTGCATAAATTAATGAGTCGGTTCATTAGGCCTATAACCTAACCTTTACTTTCCTAATCTAACCTCACTTCAAAACACTTAATACAGTCACGAATCCGCACAAAACCCGACCTACCTTCCTCACATGCCTAAATAAGAACTGATTATTTGGTTTCAAAACGAATTGATTTGATTTCATTCCGCATTAGATCAATTATAAACAGTTGTTTGCTCTTCTCACTCAGTCCTCACTCCTCACTCTTCACTCAGTACGGACCCGTCCAGTCCAGACCACGCCATATTACCATTAGCCTACCACCTTCAGTACCTCTCAATTATCCTTAGATTCGTAATCCTAACCTTCGTTTTACGGCCACTACGGCCACTTAGGAATATCTCCGACAAAATCTGATTGCATTTTCGGATTCAGCGTTAAAAATACTGTAAGTAGACATATAAAAATTACATCATATCCCAATGTAAATACCGGTAACTTACGGTAAGTAAATATTTGCCATAAAATTAAACTATCATAACCTAACCTAACCAACCAAACTTGCTGATTGTGAAAAAATCGCATGAAGGTTTACTAATCGAATCGATAGTTTCAATCGATATTAGCATAGCCCAGTTAACTTAAGAAACTGTACCCAAATAGGCTACTTACTAAAACTAAGTATGTAACAATGCAAGACCAATGAACAATACGATAAGGATACATGTAAAATTTAATCTAAGACAGTAGGCCTAATTTATGAACAGAATTTAACCTTCATTCGATTTGTTCATTATCAGCAAGTTTGGTTAGGTTATGACAGTAACTATCGGACGCCTGTCCGGTTACCGGATGCGTATTGGGTACAGTTTCTTAACTGGGCTATGCTAATATCGATTGAAACTATCGAATTGGAAATATTGATTAATAATCAATATTTTTAAATATATCTATTATAAAATTAAAACTATCATAACCTAACCTAACCAACCAAACTTGCTGATGGTGAAAAAATCGCATGAAGGTTTACTAATCGAATCGATGGTTTCAATCGATATTAGCATAGCCCAGTTAAGAAACTGTACCCTGCGTATCCTCTGCGTACTAAATATGCCTAGGCCTAGTCCTAGTTACAAATAAAATGGTAATATCTTAAAATTATAAATATTTCTAATGGGCCTAATGTTGTTACACTTGCAAGTAAGCAGGCCCCAAAACACATCTTAGGCTTATGCCTATAAAATCTTAGATGTATGTAACGTACCTAACTCCAATCACCGTGGCAACAGCAGGGAATGCTGCCATTTTAACAAATTGAAGCAACCTAGAAAAGTCAATGAATAGGCCTAATTTAATTAAATAAAAAAACACTATCAAGTTAAAAACTAAAACAAGAATCCTAGAGTGGGTGCGAATCAATAAAACAAGACAGTATTAACACACAGAAAAAATGCTTCTAGGAAATTAGTATTATAATAGGTTGATAACATAGAATTTGACACAAGACAAGACGACAGACGCGAGAGAGCGAGCCGCAGAGTAGAGTCAGAGTGGTATGGTTTTTATTATTGTAGAAATTGTAGTGTAGTAGAGAGTGCAGTGAGTGCAGTGCCAGTGCAGACGATTCAATGGTTCAGCCTTCACGCCAGGCAGGAAGCAGACCAGACCGAATCCGCCCGCAGACAGACGTCAAGCTTAAGCCACCTTTGAACATCCATTTGGCAGCCTGGTGAGCCAGGTGGCATTATAGCCACCTTAGCCACGGCCGCCTTTAACTCCAGAGTCCAGAGTCCAGGCAGTTACAATCAGGTGATCTTTTGTTTGCAATCCGAGTGACGTCAGAATATGTGGGAATAGCACACCTATGGTGCACGAATGCAGTTTGAGGATATCCTGGGGACGTCCTATGGATATTCTCGGTGGCTACCTGTATTAAAACATATTTTATAGTACTGGATGTATTTTTTCAAGTGACAAGTGCTTAAGAAACGTTATTAAAAAGGATCTCAATACTATTTTGAATTAAAATAACTAATAACGTTACTAATGGTTTATAAAAATTAATCATGTTTTCCGATCATATCCATAGGACATCCTTTGGAGATCCGTAGGATATCCCCGTAGGGCATAATAACTACCAAACTCTAATTTTTTCCATTTTATAATAATAATAATACACCTGCTTACAATAGTAATAATGCAAATATTTTCTTTTTAATTTAAATTCTAACTTATCTGAGAAAATTTATTGGTTGAAAATTGAAGGGGAAATATTAATTAATCATACAACAATTATAATCTATATTCTTATTACAGTATCCTTTACAACTCCCAGAAAAACAATTTAACAACTTGATGCCTAAACAGAATCATAGTATCAAAAATGTTTAAGTATTGCGACCATTTCAGCTATCGGCTCCTCTTTAACCGTTTGAAAACTAGTAAAATCGACCATCACAAATAGCTCAGGAGGTGATGTAAAAGTTTCATAAGTCAAAGGTACCCGGTTCAAAACTCGTCTGAGCAAAAATATTTTTGTTTCTATTTTTTTCCAAAATTTGTTTTTATGGGCTATTTAATTAAAATACTTTAATACTTAACTGGTAAAAGTGCTTTTCAGACTAAATATTTATTATTTTGTGTTTTCATATATAATTTCCTGGTGGGATTATCCCAGGGATCAGGATTTGGGTGGACATAGGGATATCCCAGGGAGTTACCCAGGATATCCTGATTGCGGGATATACAGAGGATATCCCCCATATCCCACTAGGATATCCCCAGGACATTCCAAGGATATTCTTGTGCAATGTCACACATGGCGAGTTTACTCGTCGCTATTAGTCGCCGTTAAGTTGCCACTCGTACCACAGAAAACAGTATGTTTTCTGTGCTCGTACTCGCAGGCTTCAAAAACACTTCCAGTCAGGGTCGCCGGAATTTTATCCCCCTGGAATTTTACCCCCTGGGCAAAGCTGACGTCACTATGACGTAGTAACCTGAGTGGCCAAAAGTTTGTTCGCGGTCGGAATTTTACCCCCGCGGATTTGGAAGTCTAATGAAAATAGTCAGAGCGTGATTAATTAGATTAGCGATAAAAACCGGCATTTTACCCCCTGTCCATATAACTAGCGTTTAGACAACTGAAGATGTACGGGCCGGATTTTTACCCCCGGATTTTTACCCCCGGAATTTTACCCCCGGATTTTTACCACCCGGAATTTTACCCCCGGATTTTTACCCCCCCGGAATTTTACCCCCTGGCGGATTTTAAAAATTGAATGATTGATTTTCTTATTTCTGTTTTTATTATTGTAAACATTTCATTATTTAGTAGCCTATCTTTATTTATTTATTTTGTAACCTCAACTAAGTAAACAGAATTCACTGATTTATTTTGATCATATTAACCAATATTAACCAACAGTTGGCTACAAAGATCGAATCCTGATACTCGAATCTCAAAATTAAAATTAAAAACCTGTTCGATTAGTTAATGTTGCAAATAAATTAAGATAGGCTACTTAATGATAAAATGCTAACTATTAATTTAAAACTGAATGAATATGATTAATCATTCTCACTAATTTATATATCTGGCCAGGGGGTAAAATTCCGGGGGTAAAAATCCAGGGGGTAAAATTCTATGTTTAATTCCGCGTTAATCCATCGAGCTGATGTCGCAAAACTCAAAAGTTCGCGGCCGGAATTTTACCCCCTGGTTTGTGACGTCACGTTTGCCCAGGGGGTAAAATTCCAGGGGGATAAAAATCCGCTACCCCTCCAGTCACACATATAGCGAGTTGTAGCGGATACTTCAGTCTGGTTGTGTAGAATAAATTACTGTGCTGAGGAAAATGTCTGTGCAAAAATCAAGAAGAAGAATAAACGCAAGTGGGTTCCGGCACGGCCACTTTTAACTCCAGGCCGCGGCCTGGTAGAATCGGCAACGTCACAAGTAGAGTTGTTTAGTGTCAGATTTCCCATAAGAAAACATGGCAGACAGCTAATCAGCTAATCAATTCACACTTTATTGATTTAAATTTAAATTACTTGTGACGTTGCAACATGGAAGGCCGCGGCTTGGGTTAAAGGTGGCCGTGGTTCGGGAGTGGATAGGGAGACGTATGACACTAAACCACGACAACCCTACTTGCGACGTTGTCAATTCTACCAGTATTATTACAGGTAAAATAGGCATGTAATAAAAAAAAAGGTCCGTTGATGAAACTCGGTGAAGACTTTCCTTTTGTCATAATAATTAAGAATCTAAAGAGTCCATAAAAGGTTTGAAACACTGAAAATTAAATTTTGATGAAATATAGGCATGTAACACCTTTTTTTGTTTATTTTTGATGCAGAATTTTACTTTCTCCCCCTATACCATAGTATATGGAGAAAGTATTGTTTTCGTCAAAATTTTCGAGTTTGAGTTTTGAGTGGATATATTCGTTTTGGGTCCTTCTGGACCCAAAAAAGTGGTTTTCGAAGTGATGTCTGTGTGTGTGTGTGTGTGTCTGTGTGTCTGGATGTGTACAGAGCTAGAGACTACACCTGTGGTCCGATTTCGATGAAATTTGGTATGTAGGTTCTAAGCCATGGTATCTCCAGGCGTTTTTTTTTCATTTTTTTGAAATTTTGATTTTTTATGGGGATTTTCCCATAAAAACCCATAAAAACCGGAAAAATAAGATTTTCTCAAAAATGGCCCGAACGATTTTGATAAAGATTTAGTATGTTGTAGCCCTTTAAATTCTAAACAAAATGGTACAAATCCCATCTCTGTAAAAATTATGGTTCAAAAGTTATTGTAAATTATGTTATTTTCCCATAAAAACCCCATAAAATAACGGAAAATTTAGATTTTCCCAAAATTGGCTTGAACGATTTTGATAAGAATTTAGTATGTAGTCCTTTAAATTCTGAAAAAATTGTACAAATTCCATTTCCGTATATTATTTACTCTCACCGCTGCTTACACATGATAAAGGTTGTTGACAAACTTATGGGAGAAAGTATGTGTCAGAATGCTGATACCGTTTATTTAAGTTAATCACTCAATGTTATTTAAATGGGTTTCATTACATCACCGAGTGAGTTTTTGATACTTTACATCACTCGAGAAGTAAGGAAGTTGTATACATCACGCTTGAGATAGGGAAGTTTAACATGACGGGTTAGGTAAAGAACTTTACGTATCACGCATGGGATAGGGAAGTTTAACATGACGGGTTGGGTAATTATCTTAAACAACCTTCCAACGCCTCTAAAAGCAGAGTCAGACAACATCTCAGACCATCTGAAATTCCAAAGAAAGTTAAAAAGTTAATTTCTTTTAAAAATGCTACTACAGCGGCGTGACTTCCTGACTGACGGCTAGATTCTTAATTATTGTCCTTCGAAACAAAATGATTTGTAAAGATTATGTTTAAGTTAATTTTATTATTCTAAGTTAAATTCCATTGTATATTATATTATTTTGACGTAACCAATACATGTAATTGTGTCTACTTTTGGTTCAATAAAAAAAAAGATTACTCCACAAAGAAGTTCATTGTCAAAATTAGTTCGCCTTATATTGACGGCTAATAAGTTAGTAAAAACACTTTGGTCTTTGTTATAATTTTAAAACTGTTCAATGTTTTTATACTATATAAGTATACTCAACGGAATATCCACCTTTGTCACATTCTTTCTTACTTGGTTCACTTTGCTTAACCTTAATAGTCTAGTCTCCGCCTCTCGTCTCTCCATCCATACCTTGTCTAGTTTAAGTCCATAGTCCATCAAGGTGAAGTGAAAAAAATTGTAATTGTACTAATGTACTGAATTTTTTGTTCTGCTGATGAGGACTGAGGAGTGCTGAATTGGAAATTGGAATTCCTATAATTATTATTATAAATCCAAATAATAGTAGATTCAGTAATTCGTGTTGTCTATGTTCGTACCTGTGTGAAACATTAAGTGCTTATAAAACGAAAATTCTCGAAACATTTTAAAACATCTTAACTTCTTCCTCTTTTGCAAGCCTCAAATACATCCGAAATGTCTACTGACTATAATTATTGTGAAATGTGCGTCTAGGATATGTTTGCAAGGTTATTGTATTTTTACTTTTGTGTCTTTCTTCCTGGATATCGCCTGTCGTTTTTAATTTGACTTCCGTTTAAACATATTTGTGATCATGAGTTCAAATAGAGAAGTAGCCAACTGTGGCTTAAGAACAGTCGACCTAGATCAAATTTGGGGTGATCTTAAATGTGGAATTGAACAGGTTTACAACCAACAATATATGCCAAAAGGTCGCTATATGGAACTTTACACTCATGTATACAGTTATTGTACTAGTGTTCACCAGCAACAATCTCGACCAACGGCAAAAACAAAAAAAAGTGGTTCAAACAGTCAGGGTGGGGCTCAATTTGTAGGTCAAGAATTGTACAAAAAACTCAAAGATTTTCTTCGGAACTATTTGGTCAATCTTTTAGAAAATGGAATCGACCTGA